GCCTCAGCCTCCCAAAGTGCTAGGATTACAGGTGTGAGCAACCACGCCCAGCCTTGATAACTAAATTTTAAGAAATGTTTTAGCAATTCTTCATGTACCTTTCACTTGTCTTATAGTTACTTAATTCCTCTGCTCTTATCATTTGATATTTTCATTTTATTGTGTATCTCTGTAAGGTCGAATCAATAGATTTTGAACAATCTCACACTTAACCTTTAAAAAAAAATCTAATAGGCCCAGTTTCCTCTCAACAATCTTCGAAGAACCTTCGAGAAAGGAGAAACACAGACCTCCCACTTCTAGACATGCACACTGTAACCCGGGAAGAGGGAGAAGGCATGGAGACAACTGATACTGAGTCCGTGTCTTCCGCCAGCACATATACACAGTCTTTAGAGCAGCTGCTTAATTCTCCCGAAACTAAACTTGGTATGTTACTCTATCTAAATATGTTTTTCTTATTTAATTTCTTTGTCTTATTTAATTACTATTACTCTAAGTTACATATGCTTTTTTGGGCTGCTTCAATAAAACTTATTTCAGTATTCCCCTACCTGTTTGTATTAGGGTTCTCTAGAGGGACAGAACTAATTGGATGGACAGATGGATGCTTATTAAGTATTACCTTACACGATCACTAGGCCGTCTGCAGGCTGAGGAGCAACAAGAGCCAGTCCAAGTTCCAAAACTGAAGAACTAAGAGTCTGATGTTCAAGGGCAGGAAGCATCCAGCACAGGAGAAAGATGTAGGCTGGGAGGCTAGGCCAGTCTCACCTTTTCACGTTTTTCTGCCTGCTTTATGTTCGCTGGCAGCTGATTAAATGGTACCTACCAGATTAAGGGTGGGTCTGCCTTCCCCAGCCCACTGACTCAAATGTTAATCTCCTTTGGCAACACCCTCACAGACACACTCAGGATTAATACGTTGCATCCTTTAATCCAATCAAGTTGACACCCAGCATTAACCATCACACTGTCCAAATGGGAAAATTACAAAACAAATCTTTTTTAAAATAAAATGCTAGCTCTTGCCCTAGGTTTGAACCATAAATAAGTGGTGGGAAGTTTATAGTCACAAATAGGTGGTGGGTATTAGAAAGCAGGATAAACTATCTTCTCACCCTTCCAAGAAACTGACAGTTTCAGTTTATTCCTCTTGGTGAAGTAATGCTAAATTTTTGTAGTGATGTTGTGGTATATTTTATTCTTGCCTATGATCAGTATCAAAATTTAGGGGGAATCTGTTTGTCATCTTCCTGAAACTTCAGGATCACCTGGAGTAAGGGTCATTTGTATTCATGGTCACTGACTATGTGGGGTAGAAATTGCAAGTCATGGTTCCTTCAGGCAAAGTTAGTAGTGGTGACATGGAGGCATCGTGATAGAGCAGCAGCAGACTGCAGAAGCCGATTTGACTTTGTGATTCCTGCCAAAATTACCTGTCATCTGTGAGCCTGTTTCATCGTCTATAAAGTTTGAATAATGATACCTACCCCACCTGATAGAAGATTCTTATGAGGGTACATGATACGTGACCAGTAAATGTTCATGCTTTCCTCATTATAAGTGAAATGACATAAAGTCTTGGAATATTCATAGATGGGAAGAAAATGTGTAATAAAACTGCCTATAAACACAGTTCTGACAAATTTCAGAACTGGGACTTATAGGGCTTATATTCAGTTAGATTACATGCTTTACAACAGAGATACTGTTTTACTTGTGTCACCTACAATATAATCTGTTGATCAAGGTATGTTGAATAGATGAATGGCAAAGAAAGCAGACCTATAAAATATCACATAGTAAGATATTTATATTTAGATGTTTTCTCATTTAGAATCTTCATCTGTATCTGTGATTTTGAAAATTAATTCTTGGAACATCTTGCAGAGCCTCCATTATGGCATGCCGAATTTACCAAAGAAGAATTGGTTCAGAAACTCAGTTCCACCACAAAAAGTGCAGATCACTTAAACGGCCTGCTTCGGGAAACAGAAGCAACCAATGCAATCCTCATGGAGCAAATTAAGGTGAGATCAGCGAACCTGGCCACCATGAAAACCGCCAGTTTGGTTTTCTTGGTCCTCCATACACAGGCACCCAAGTTTAAAAATTCACATTGCAGATGCATCCATAACATCTTGATCTTTATATTAGATTCCTGATGGTGAGAAATACTGCTTTGCTTTTCTTTTTTTTTTTTTGAGACAGAGTCTTACTATGTCGCCCAGGCTGGAGTGCAGTGTCACAATCTCGGCTCACTGCAAGCTCTGCCTCC